ACTAGAAACCGGGTTTCGATACCCGTGATGGGCAGAGCACAGATAGTCCATTGTGTATCTTTGTGCTTAACTTCAAACAAACCATTAGTATTGTGTATCTTGCTAAGTGAACATTAACCAGTCCTAGGTTAAGAAAAAAAAAGTTTAATCAAAAGTACAAAACAAAACTTTAAAAGTCAGTTAATTATTAGATTTGTTTTGTGAATACATTTACTGGTTACCTTTTTCTTTTCGAGGATTTTAAATTGCAAAAAATTTCTGAAATTCATCAAACGTATCATGGTGAAAATTCATTTGAGTTAGCAGGTCAGCTATTTCGGTTATTACGCTCATTCTACGCGTCTTTATTATTTTAGATTAGAGGTGAAAAGGCTGTCGTGATTTATAAAGTTTCAATGTTTATAAGAGCACGGTGAGAATTGTACTTTTTAAAAATCTTCTTGTCCTCAGAGTATTTGCTTCATGCCAAGTGTTTTAAAAACGTCTCCATGGATGAAGAGAAGTGCGGGCCTACTTACCGCCATACTCTGTGGTTGTCAGAAAACGTGAAACAAGAAGGAAACGTTGAAGAAGAACTGCGGAAAACTTGTTGGTAAGATAAGAATTTAATTAATCCAGATATCTAATGAATGACATTTTTGTTTGTTTCTAGTTTAACCATAAAGCTACACAATGGGCTATCTATGCTGTGCCCACCACGACTATCGAAACGAGTATCTAATGGATGAAATTTACATATATTTGAGCTGGAAAGCCAACTTCAGGAGGTAATGTTTCCTGACTCACCATTCCCAATGATAAGACCTTATTTCTTTCTTTCTCGTTTATTTGTCCCACGGGTGGGATAGTGGTAAGTTTACGGACTTAAAACGCTAAAATTTGGGGTTCGATTCCCCGCAGTGGACACAGCAGATAGCCTAATGTGGCTTTCCTCTAAACAACCATACCAAACTAATATATTTTTCATTCCTCTTTAACTAAAAGCAGCCATCTTCCCACAACTATCTGAAAGTGGTGTAAGGCGATACAGATATGGGACATTGTGGGCTTGAGCACCCACATCTTACTCTCCCCGAAAGTGGCAAGAGGTTATGTTCCACCACCCACCCCTGTGTGTATGTATGTGTTTGTTTGTTTGTGAGTTTGTCAGCAAGATTTCTCGAAAACGGCTTAATGGATTTGGACGAGAGTTGGTATACGTTTGGACTACGACCAAACTTAGAAGTGATTTTGTTTTTTTGGAGGGTCACGGTCAAAGGTTAAGGTCACAGCAAGGTCACGAAAATCCAAAACATCCCAGCTGTTAACATGGGTACCGATTTTTCACACTATTTTTATTCTATAACTCAGTGAAAAATGATCAGATTTTAATAACACGTGGTGGACATACGTAGAATGTTATTCCTCATCGTCCTGCCAAAAATGGTCCGTGTTCGTATTCCTTGAGGGCCGAATATGATCAACGCGCTGTTTGGTGGAAGTATGCGTTCTACCGAGTGGCCCTCTAGTTGTTGTTTTTTTTAAATTCCTATTTTACTCTCTTTCTTTACATACGAGGCATTGCGAAAGGAGGTTAAAACTGATAGACGGTGTATCCCCACGGATATGTGAGTCCTACTTCCACAGTCACTCCCAAAAAAACTAAGACGCATCTTATACTCCCCAATTTAGCCCGTGCCCTGGCGACTTTGTTCTGTTTATGGTTAAGGTTTGTTTTGTATTATAAATATGTTCCGTTTCATCATAACCTTTTTTCCTTTTGATGTAAATATTAACTGTTTAAATAATGTTTATTTCCATCAAGTTGGGTAGTGGGGGAGGGGAGGCTGTCTTATAAACAATATAGCCTTTGTTCATACTTCTAAACCAACAATGCTCCCCACTGTTGTATATTTTAATTTCGTTCTTATTCAATCGTAACACGATAAAAATATTTTTAGGATGTTTTGAGCATATTCCTTTTCTTTTTGTTTTAGTTGTTCATTCATCAACTCGTGAAAACTTTTAACTTATGTTTTTTCACATATTTACAGTGCCTTTAGTGAGTTTGTGCATTGTAAATACATCCACGTGACCAACGATTGTGGACCTGAAGCAGGAACATTTCTTCGGCGACACATGGAGCGGATATCCGGCAACCTGATTCACGAACACTGCGCCGCCTATACGCACAGATCTAAAGCTTGTGTTAATAAGAGCGCACAAACCTTTTTGTTTGGAAAATCCACTTTTATGAGTCTGTTTTTCATGTACGTAGTTTTTACTGAACTCACTTGAAAATCCCATTAGGGTGATAATTTCAAATCTAATAATATATCGTTTGTTTTTGTGTGTATTTGAGAATACAGTGTTTAGCAAAAAAAAAAAAAAACAAAATCGTGTTTTATTTCTACCACATACCATGGAACTGTTTATTTACATACACAGCGAACAGTTTAACGATAAAAAAAACTAAATTAGAATCTACCACTTTAAGCCTTCATGCTTTATATAAGTTAAATCAATAGTACAACCATTAATATATAATGTATAAAATTTGTATAATATCAGTTTTTGTATGCCTTGAACAAGTACTTCAAAATTATAATAACTGATTAGATAAAACAAATTCTTAATAAACCACAAACATATCTTAGTTAAACCTATTCATTCGCCAGACGATTTTGTGATAGATTTATAAAAAAAAAGGTGTTGAGCAGAAGACAAGGACATTATTTCACACATCAGCTCCAACTTCACTTTGGTTTGAATTTCGCACAAAGCTACTCGAGGGCTATCTGCGCTATCCGTCCCTAATTTAGCAGTGAGAGACTGGAGAGAAGGCAGCTAGTCATCACCACCCACCGCCAACTATTGGACTACTCTTTTAGCAACGAACAGTGGGATTGATCGCGGCGTTATAACGCCTCCACGGCTGAAAGGGCGAACATGTTTGGTGATGAGGATTCGAGCCAGCGACCCGCATAATACGAGTCGAGCGCCCCCTACCCATCAAGCCATTACCGTAATTAACTCGTAACATATTAGGTCGTCAAGAATTTAATGTCGCGTTTTGGAACACTTTCATTAATCACCCCCCCCCAAAAAAAAACGTACATCACGTATAATAGTTAAACGAACCGCCTAAACGTTACGTTAGTGTAGCCTATATAATGTGTAAAGTTTGGTATACTTTAATCCCTTATAATGATGGCACCGGATCAGACACACATTCGGCATGTAATGCTGTTTGACTATAAGAAGGGAAACAATGCCTCTATAGCCACAATAAAGCTCATAAAAGGAATTTGTTGTAATTGGCAGGTAGTGATTTTAATATTTTTATTCATAAATTTCTAAGGAAAATACACAGGTAACTTAGAAACAATTTAAATGTATTTTAATAGTTCATTGTTATGGATAGACAGATAGAATGAAAGAGAAATAATTTGTGCCACGTAAAACTGTAGACAAGCTCGTCAATTAGAAATGTCTAGCTAAGCCTAAGGGGGGTCAATCCTTCAATTCTGGATGTCTCCCTAACCCAAATTTGTCAACAATAGCCCCTGTAATCACCATAAAACAACGTATTATTGGAGTTGCTAAGTTAACTTATTGTTGCTTAGTGGAGTATACGTTTATCTTCTCCGTCTCTTGACTTGAGACTGTTAAAAAATGCATTTTTTTTTATCTTCGGGATCCTTTATTCACTTAACAGACAGAACCGGTGGTGATAACGCTCTAATTTTGCTAATATTTAAGAATCTGTTTGAATTACCTTTAGACAAGACTCATTACTGAATTGGTAAATTCCTGTCTTATGACTGAAACGTATCGTATTTCATAAGAAAAAAATGGAGATAGCTAAATGAAATCAGACAAATAGGTCTACTAATTTATTCAAACTGACTGTTTGAGGAGTCAAAGGAGAGAGAAAGAGAGAGAAAAAAAAAGAGTTTATTTTAAAAATGGATAAAACTGGTGTAGGTGTATGAGCTCGAATTTTATTTTTACAGGGCCTACTTGAAACTCTGAAATAAAAACATGATCCAAACGTTAATATAGTTCCGTTTTATCACACGGCCAGTAACAAACTAATGAAAACTAGTCCACACGCACGAGTTCGTGTCTCTTCTTGGGACCGCTTGTTTGTTTGCTAATTAAGCACAAAGCTACATAATGGGTTATCTGTGCTCTGCCCACCACGGGTATCGAAACCCGGATTCTAGCGTTGTAAGTCCGCAGACATACCGCTGTGCCACTGGGGAGCTCTTGGGACTATAATAATTAATTGTGTCATAGTTCATTCAAAACATAAGTTGGATACAATTTGTTAATACTTTTATCATTGTTTGTTTAGAGCAATAATTTATCCTAATCATTCAATTCCTGCAGCTTTCTTTATGGTATTAATCATGACGCCATTGTGGTTATCCGACTTCTAATAATAAGTTATTCAACAAGGAATTTAGTGACATGATCTCGGTTTTTTTTTTCTCTTTTTTTATAGTATTCCCAGGCTAACTGATATCATGGTTAATTATTATTTTTAACTTATGAAGTATGAAAAAGCTACATCAGATTGCCCTGTACGTAGCTATGCAAACAGACATCTAATTAGCATTAAAGACAAATATTTGACGTTAATATCTTACTGTAACAGGAGTAGAACTTCCGCCCGGATCAGTATTAGTAAAGTAAGGTTATTTATCTTTCTCCAAGTTTGTCTTACTTCGGGGCTGCGTAAGTCAATCTAATTTTTATTTTAAAAAATTGGATCAACTACTAGAACTGAAGTTGAAGATTTAAAATCAAGATTAACATACTTTCCCTATTAAAATCAAGATTAACATACTTTCCCTAGTTGATTTATTGTTTATTGAAACAAAAGTTCAATATAATCTACTTATAGATTTTGCAGATCGGAGCAAAGTGAATAAGGTATGGTTGGTATAAGGCAGTAAAAAAATGAAATATTTATATAAAAACAGATGTATTATAGAGGGATTATTTTAACATGCAGACTTTACAAAGTATACATCATTCAACATCTTAATAGAAGTCAATAAAAAAAGTCAACAATAAAAGCACTGCTGACCCATCAATGAAATAAAACTCTGTTAACCCATCAATGTAACGGAATTCTGTTCACCCGTCATTATAATGAAACAATGCTGACCCATCGATGTAACGAAACGTTGGTGATCCATCAATGCAACGAAACACTGTTGACCTATCAACGTAATGAAACACTGTTGACTAATGAACGTAATGAAACAATGCTGACCCGTCAATGTAATGAAACAATGCTGTCCCAACAATTCAATGAATCACTGCTGAGCCATCAACGTAATGAAACAATGCTGACCCATCAATGTGTTGAAACAATGGTTACCCATCAATGTAATGAAACAATGGTTACCCATCAATGTAATGAAGGAAACTTGGGGTTTCTTTTTCTATTATTTGAATATCTGAAACTGAAGCAAAAGTCCAACACTGTACATCTTTTTTTTTAAATTGTTTATAAATTATACGGTATTGTAAGATCATGTAGAATTCACCACTAAAGGGCTTCCATATATACACTCACAAAGTATTCAGATCTAAGCTAAAGTATGAATTAAGGTTCATTCATCCATCGGTATAGAATCTATATATAGAATAACTAGATAGAACACTTAAGTAAGAAACTTGGTTAATACTCTACATAGAGTACTTCAATTAGAACTCTAGATAGGACACTGTGTAGTACAATGCAACTATATAGAACACTGTGTAGTACAATGCAACTATATAGAACACTGTGTAGTACAATTCAACTAGATAGAACACTGTGTAGTACAATGCAACTATATAGAACACTGTGTAGTACAATGCAACTATATAGAACACTGTGTAGTACAATTCAACTACATAGAACCCTATGTAGTACAATTCAACTAGATAGAACACTGTGTAGTACAATTCAACTAGATAGAACACTGTGTAGTACAATTCAACTACATAGAACCCTATGTAGTACAATTCAACTAGATAGAACACTGTGTAGAACAATTCAACTAGATAGAACACTGTGTAGTACAATTCAACTACATAGAACCCTATGTAGTACAATTCAACTAGATAGAACACTGTGTAGTACAATTCAACTAGATAGAACACTGTGTAGTACAATTCAACTAGATAGAACCCTATGAAGTACAATTCAACTAGATAGAACACTGTGTAGTACAATTCAACTACACAGAACCCTATGTAGTACAATTCAACTAGATAAAACACTGTGTTGTACAATTCAACTACATAGAACCCTATGTAGTACAATTCAACTAGATAGAACACTGTGTAGTACAATTCAATTAAATAAAACAGCTACTAAAACCATGGTGCAGAACACACCGTTTTATGTGTATCACATTTATAACTACGTATTAGAAAGCAGTCCTAATTATTCTTCTAGAGTTTTTACAGAGGGAATATAATTTTAAACTCTTTATTTTTGTTTTATAATCTTGATGTTTGGAGATTTAGACAACAAACTCGAGAGGAGACAATATCACTCTTGATTTTCACTTTATGCTGTGTTTCTTATCTTGATCTCTCTCTCTCTATTCGCATGGCTGAAACATTTCCTCAACAATCAACTTCATCATCACGCTAAAGGTAGCCATTAGAACAAAACGATGACCTCAACAAATAGCACGTGTCCATTAACTAGGTTAAGCCCCGGTGAAAGAAACTCGTGACGTTGGATAAAAGTTAACCAGATCCACGATCTGGCTCCGTGTTTGGTAAACCTATTAAAGATGGGAAGAAGGTAAGAAGTAGCTGGCTTGTTCAGATCTCTGGTCAGATGTACACTCTTGCCTCCCACCAGGGTTGGTTTATTAACTACTTATTTGTATCAGTTTTGTTTGTTGTTAACGGCAAAGTTGCACAATCTGTGTTGTGCCAATTGCGGGGATAGAAACTAGAATCTTTGTCTTAGGGTAACTTGAAAAAATGCGTTGACATTTTTATTCTAAAGAATATATATATATGTGTGTATGTGTCCGTTATCTGTTTCTGTGAATAAATAAGGATCATTTTTTGAGTGAAATTTCATACGTATCTAAACTGTGTAAATGTTCTATGGAGTTTGACACAAATAATTGTTGTAGTTACTTAATGATGACGTGTACATTTCTGCAGCTTATACACGCACGTTATTATCTTTATTTTTGCATCTAACGGTTCTTGAATTCCACATCTGTTCAAGTGACTTCTCCAGAAACGTTGTGTGGTTCTATTCCAGCCGTCCTCTTGAGTAAAATGTTTAAAAACAATGGAACAAATAAAAAAGACGTCAGGAACGACGTTTATGCGTACTAGGAACTGATGAGACACGGGATCATTTTTACGCCACTCACTAATGATGTACCAGCCTTCTTGATGTTGTCCATCCTATAGGTCTTGCTGCTCCGAACCCGTAACGTTTATACGTACCACATTTTTTATGGTGTGAAGAAGCGTGATTATAATTACACTCGACACACTACGGTCACCATATCCTCTGACAAGTAAAATTACTTGTTTAACTAAAGTTTGTTTACCGTACATTGGTCCATTATGTCGTAGTATAAAAGGGTAATTTTGTTTTGTTTTAAGTTTGGCATCTTTTATTTTCTTACTTCTGGTTATTTTCGGTGGCTGGTCCAAGATTTTATTCAGGGAGGCGGAGTATATTTTCTTACTTCTGGTTATTTTCGGTGGCTGGTCCAAGATTTTATTCAGGGAGGCGGAGTATGGGGCATGCTTTTCCAAAAAAAAAAAAAACGTTTTAAACTGACTGATTCAAAAACCTTACCCAGGAAACTAACGAAGACTAGACATCCAATCTATCATTCTTCGATCAGCCTCCTCTGATTTTGAACCTTTCTCCAATAAAGTAAACTACGTAACAAGGCCTGGGCTTTGGGGAGAAAGTTAAATCGTGAGTGAATGGACAATGGAGAAACATTTTTATTTTTTCATAGCTGGATTTTCTTCCGCAGTGTTTTTCAAATTTGAAGCTCTCCTGAAACATGTTTTCAACAAACAAGTTGATTCGAACCAATCTACAACAAAACGATCGATATGAATCAGTTTATAACACAATGGTTGCGTTGAATCAGCTTACAACAAATAGGTTGAGTTGAATCAGTTTATAACACAATGGCTGAATTGAATCAGTTTACAACAAACAGGTTGAGTTAAATCAGCTTACAATAAACAGGTTGAGTTGAATCAGTTTATAACACAATGGTTAAGTTGAATCAACTTATAACACAGTGGTTGGGTTGAATCGGCTTACAACAAACGGGTTAAGTTGAATCAGTTTATAACACAATGGTTGAGTTAAATCAGCTTACAATAAACAGGTTGAGTTTAATCAGCTTACAACAAATGGGTTAAGTTGAATCAGTTTATAACACTATGGTTAAGTTGAATCAACTTATAACACAATGGTTGAGTTGAATCAGCTTACAATAAACAGGTTGAGTTTAATCAGCTTACAACAAATGGGTTAAGTTGAATCAGTTTATAACACAATGGTTAAGTTGAATCAACTTATAACACAATGGTTGAGTTGAATCAACTTATAACACAATGGTTGGGTTGAATCGGCTTACAACAAACGGGTTAAGTTGAATCAGTTTATAACACAATGGCTGAGTTGAATCAACTTATAACACAATGGTTGGGTTGAATCAGTTTATAACACAATGGTTGAGTTAAATAAACTTATAACACAATGGTTGGGTTGAATCGGCTTACAATAAACAGGTTGAGTTGAATCAGTTTATAACACAATGGTTGGGTTGAATCGGCTTACAACAAACGGGTTAAGTTGAATCAGTTTATAACACAATGGTTGAGTTGAATCAGCTTACTACAAACAGGTTGAGTTAAATCAGCTTACAATAAACAGGTTGAGTTGAATCAGTTTATAACACAATGGTTGAGTTGAATCAGCTTACTACAAACAGGTTGAGTTAAATCAGCTTACAATAAACAGGTTGAGTTGAATCGGTTTATAACACAATAACTGAGTTGAATCAACTTACAACAAACATGTGACATGAAGTTTCTATGCCGTGTATAAAAAGGTCTCAAATGATAAGACAATAATTTAATACTTGTCCGCTTCCCTTCGTAAATAATTCCAAGTTATTTGTTCAACTGCATACACACAGTCAGCTTTTCACTCATGTGTAATTTAAGTTTATTTCACACTAGGAGGCGTTTAATAAGAAGTGATTTTCACGCTTTGGCCTATAAGGCGCTAACCACAATATATAATTACAGTTATGCAAATTAGACACCATGCAAAGCAACAGCAACAACACATATAACGTATTTTCTCATTCACTACATCGGTTTCAATTACTTTAATGCTAGAACAGCGTATAATCAATTTTTGAAACGTGTAGGAAAGACTGGTTGATATATTTCTTGCCACGTGCGTACTTTAATTTATTTACACTATTAAAATGTAATTTCAATATTTAAAAATTACTGAAATTTATAAACAGATTTACAGAACTGTAGTTTGGAACTGTGCCATATTTCAATTATGAACCTGTCGCAATCTGTCGAAATATATTTATTTCCTCAACTTCTAGCCCGGCGAGTCCTTCGGTGGAAACATCAGATAACCCAGTGTGGTTTTGCTCTAATACAAATAAGCAATACGGATCCAAATAGTACCCCATAGGGACAGGGGTAAGTATACGGGGGTTACTACGCTAAAATGTGGGTTTTGTTTTACGGCGGTGGACACAGCAGACAGCCCAATGTGGTTTTGCTCTAATACAAAGAAACAAAATGAATCCAAATAAGATTGGAACTTTCCCGATCTTTTCTCACTGTTCTGACCTACTTCTAAATTTAAAGAATGGTATACACAGAATTATAAATCGATTTGAGAGAAAACAAGTGGTTATTAAATAAAAAATATGTTATTTACGCTTAAATCGGTTACAGTAAAGCGTTTGCCGTATTGGTTTGCTACAAAAGCGATCAACCAACCAGCGTTTTGTGAAATATCATGTTTAATTAGTCCTTCCTGGAACTATGCTTTTAGATCTTTTGATCGAGTCTGAAAATCTGATGTGCGTCGATAACTTTTATATTCACAGCAAATAAATCAGTTATGTTAGTCCTAACGTCTATTTAAATAGACAAATGTAGAAAAATCATATCATTGGCGTAACTCAGCAGTCCCTCTAGTGGTGATTTATAGAGATATTTCTCTAAGAGGCGTATCATTTCCCTTATTATGAAAAACAAAACACACATTTTTATTTTGTTATAAATATGTTTTTATGCTAAACGTGTTAAAAATATCATAAAAATTACACGTTTGCATTTATTGACCACGTAAACAGTGAACAATGGAAGTTCTTGCATTGTTGAATTTCGCGCAAAACTACTCGAGAGTTATCCGTACTAGTCGTCCCTCATTTTGAAGTGATAGACAACTAGTCCACATCACCCACCGCCAACTCTTGGGCTACTCTTTACCAACGAAAAGTGAGATTGATCGTCACATTATAATGCCCCCACAGCTGAAAAAAAAAGTGAGCATGTTTTGTGAAGAAATTCGAACCCGTAAGTTGCGAATCGAGCGCCTTAACCACCAGGTATAGGTTTAATTGGTTTGGTTTAGAGCAAAGTCACATTGGACTAACTACTGTGTCCATAGTGGGAAATCTAACCCCGGATTTTAGCTTTATAAGTCCATAAACTTACCGATGTCCCATCGGGGGACTATTTGGATTCGTTTTGGTTGTTTGTCTGAATTAGAGCACAACCAAATTAGACTATCTGCCGTGTCTACCGCGGAGAATCGAACCGTGGATGTTAGCGTTATAAGTCCTTAAACTTATCGCTGTCACACCGAGGTACTATTTGGATTCGTTCTTTTGAGAAAGCAAAATGCAATTTACGTGACTCGATTTCTAAATAGTCGCTTTTTTTTTATCCATTAATATACAGGGAATTTGAATGCTGTTTGTTTGTTTTTTTTCCTTGAATTGTGCGACGGTTCGCCCAAACAGAGTGAGAAACCCATAATTTAATAAATTTATGTTTTCTTTTCTTCCTCTAAAGCGTTGAAAAGTTTCGTTGATGAATATAAAAGCCCAATTTTGATGAAAGAAGAAACCTTTTCTATAAGCACAACTCAGGCAATTGACTTTGGAATTAGATATAACCTGCAAAATAAAAATAAAATAAAAAATGTAGGAAAAATTCGCCTTAAATCATTTCACCAAATATAATAAACAGCCTTCAAAAATATCTTATTTATCTAATTTTTAAAATTTCCAGTGTTTTCGGATATATATATATATCTGAGCCTATTTGGAATTTCAATGTTTTATTTCTTTTTTTATTTTACTGCTGTGCAACTTTTAAAATTTTTCGTTTTTGTACTTGATTAAACTTTTCACTCAAATTCCAGAAATACTGTACAAAACTAACAGCTTTTTTTAGACCCCTCCCTCAGCGACGGGCGTAAAAGCTTACAATGCTAAAACTCAAGGTTCGATCCCCATGCTACCAAAAGAAGAGGTTTGCACGTCACACCAAACCAAAATTAGTTTATCAGTTCATGTAAAAGTATTCTAAAGATATCTTAGATCATTTTGTGTTACTCACACGTCGTGGCACAGCGGTATGTCTGCGGACATACAACGCTGGAAACCGGGTTTCGATATCCGTGGTGGGCAGAGCACAGATAGCCCATTGTGTAGCTTTGTGCATACCTACAAACACATCGATTAGCAGACTACTAGTTTTGTTGAATCAATATTATTTAACATGTAAGACATTAATTATAATTTAATTATAATTATTTAATTATAGCTTTAATTATAATTTTCTTTATTATTTAGTTTCTAGAGTTTTTG